CATTTCCCTAATGTCTAAAGATTTCAAGTACCTGTTCATGTGTTTATTGGTAATCTACTTATCTTTTTTGGAGAAATATATAGTCAACACTTTTTAAATTGGGTTATTTATACTTTTAGTATTGAATTATAGGAATTCTTTATACAGTGTGGATATCAGACCTTTACATCAGATATATAATTTGCAAATATTTGCCCCCACTCTGTGGGTTGTCTTTTCACCTTCTTGACAGTATTGTATAAAACATAATAAAAAAAAAAAAAAGGTTTGATGAAGTCTCATATATTTTTTTCTTTTACCATTATGCTTTTGGTATGGTATCTAAGAAAGGTAGAGCCTCAGGTCATAAGAATTATGCCTAAGTTTTTCTTTAAGGGTTTTATATTTTTAGCTCTTACACTTAGATTTCTCAACCACTTAAAAGTTCTGTGTGTGATGGATAGAAAGGGTTTAGCCACTAACAAGGATACCTAGGAGTTCCAGCAAGATCTGTGAAAGAAGACATTCTTTCTCCCATTAAATATTTCTTGGCAGCAATGTCAAAGATCAATTAACCAGCTTAGTCACAGTGGGGCAGGCTGCTACGGCACTGCTACTGAGATGAGGCCACGTTGGAGTCCCAGGATGACGATGTGTACCTATAGACCTAACAAGCTGGGAGGCAGGAGCAGGAGAATCCAGATATGGTAAGATCCTGTCAAAAATCAATCTGTTTCCCTCTCTCTCTCATAAACAAATCAACTTAAAAAGAAACTAAGGCCAGCTGTGGTGGAGTGGAGCAGCGGTAATACAAAACTGCATAAGTGAGGCTGTACGGGAAAGTCTTAGGTTCACATTTCAAGGTCTCCCTGTATAAAATGGATATATGTGTGTCTGTAATCCTGGTGGGAAATGAATCATGACATGAAGACCCTGTTGGGGGTGTCTAAAGAGATAAATAACCTAGAAAAAAAATTAATTATGTCCTGAAAAAAAAAAAATCTACTGGACCAGCTGAATCTCACATGGTCAGCTTCGCAGCTCAAGTCCTGGACCTGGCACTTTATGAGACACACAGGGTTGTCTTCATGTGTGACTAAAATCCTGAAAGGGAGAATTAAAGGAGAAGAAAAAGACTGTAACATGACTATTCCCTGTGGAAGGTGCTTTCTCACTTTACCCCTCTCTCCTCATCTCTCATCAGTGAGTGGATGAGCTTTCTGGCACAATTTTTTTTTCTTTTCTTGGAGAGGTTTTTGCTATAGGGGGCGTGCGTTCACCAGAAAGACAGAGAGAGACAGAGAGACAGAAAGCGAGAAATCACCCCCCCGGGGGGATGGCCACGCCGCAATCCCTTCTCCTCCATTCTCCTCGCGGGATCTTGGGCACACACACACACACCCCCAGCGTGAGTTTAAGCCGCCGGGTCCAGGACTCGAACCACGGTCGACTATGTGAGAGTCCAGCGATATAGCTATTATGCTAACTGCTGGTCCCTGGCAAAATATTTTTTTAAAAATCAACTAACCATAAACGTATTTATTTCTGGACTCTGAATTCTATTACATTCTAATAATCTTTTAACAAGCTCCTTTTCTACTCAATCGGCTAGAGAATACTTTGTGCTTACAATTATGAATGCTGACTGGTTCTCTTTTCTTCAAAGGCTGAGAATTTGGGGATGCAGGTTTATCCCATTTTCTTGACTATGGATGTTGTTTCTATTTGACAGTACCCAATCTGTAGTGATTGTGAAAGAGGACCTCTGCTGCTAGATGAAAAATACAAGTTTGTGAACTGGGTATGAATCATACCCTTCCAGGGATTTTGCAGCTACAGAATCTAACACAATATTTCAATCTAAACACAACCTCTACTGATACCCATTTCTGGGTAGGAACACAGAAAAGGATTTCAAAAAGCAGATCCTGGGGCAAACAGGGTAGCACGGTGGTTGAAGGCGTTGGACTCCCACATGGCCTACTGCTGTTTGAGTCCTGGTCCTAGTAACTTGCTTTCTCAATTTCTCTTTCTCTCTCTCTCTGATAAAATTAAAAATAGTATGAGGAAATAAAATTAAATAATTTTTAAAAAGCAGATCTCAGATTATTCACACTATTGCCTCAGAAATCCATCCCAACCTCAGCACCTTGCTAGAGAGATTTCTCCTGTTTGTTTGTTTGTTTGTTTTTGTTTCTAAGAGAGAGATTTTTGCTATATGGTGTGTGCACTAGCTGGAGACAGAGAGATAGAAAACAAGAAACCACCCCCCGAGGGGGGTGGCCATACCACAATCCTTCTCCATTCTCCTCTCGGGATCTTGGGCATATAGGCGAATGCAGCTGGCCTGAGTTTAAAATCATCAGGTTCTGAACTTAAACTGTGGTCAACTACGTGAGAATCCAGAAACATAACCATTATGTCATCTGCTGGTTCCGATTTCTCATTTTTGAGTAGGAACATCCCTAGTAGAGTTCTTAACTTTTTTGGTCCCTTTCTCACTCCTTTCCATGGAAGAAGGTATGACCTATTTGGTAAATGAATTTAGAAAAAAGAACAATGGAGTCTGCACAGCATCCTGAACCTGCTGCCATGGCCGCCTACAGGCTGGTGTTCACCCTACATGGTGAGAGCATCTGGAACCTGAAGAACCACTTCAGCATTGGTGAGATGCCAGCTATGAATTTGACATTTGCTTCACCTCAGTGCAGAAGACGGCAATCCAGACCCTCTGGGTAGTGCTGGATGCCATTGACCAGATGCAGCTGCCAGTGGTGAGGACTTCGTGCCTCTACAATCAGTACTACAGGGCGGTTCTCACTGGCCTTAATAAAGCAGAAACTGCTGCTGGCACAGGGAGGCCCAAATGAAGATCTGGAGGTGCTCCTTTGATGACCCACCTCCCCCGATGGAGCCTGACCACCCCTTCTATAGCAACATCAGTAAGGATCGCAGGTCTATAGACCTCACCAAAGACCACCTGCCCTCCTGTAATAGTATGAAGGACATATTCACCAAAGCTTTGACTTTCTGGAATGAGGAAATAGTTCTCCAGATTGAGGAGGGGAAACGAGTAATGACTGCAGTTCACAACAACAGTCTGCGGGGCATTGTCACACATCTGGAGGGTTTCTCTGAAGAGGCTATTACAAACCTGAACCTGCCGACTGGTATCCCCAATGTCTATGAGCTGGACAAAGACTTGAACCCCATCATGCCCATGCAGTTCCTGAGGGATGAAGAGACTGTACATAAAGCTGGAAGCCATGGCTGCCTGGGGCAAGGTCAAAAAGTGAAAGCAAGCAGGCAGACAATCATCCCAAGGAGCTCTCTCTCTCTCTGCCCATCCCACCCCTCTTCACCCTCTCATCCCTCTGCACGCTCCCCTGCACAGGTCACACTGATCACATCTGAAGGCATTTGAAGTTGAGATTACAGATTGGACCAGTGGCTCCTATTTTCATTTTGGCCATTTTGTTTCCTGCACTCATTCACTTCATGCAATCTAGGAGAACAGCATCTCTAAGGCATGGATTCTCAGTCCAAGCGAACTCATTTTCTACTTGAGAGTGAGTAGTAGTCACTCTAGTTTTTTCTAGAGCTTTGTTTACTAAGGATCCACTTGAGTAGGACTAGGGAGGAATCATATTAAGGCAAGACCAAGGAGCAGAAGAGGGCCTGTTTGTGTTCCTGGGAGCCAGTCCTGTGCTCTTCTGTAGGCAGGTCACTATCAGGCACTCCAGTCATTCCAGTGGAAGATGATAGAACCTTCATGATGATTTAAAAACATGATGACTTCCTCCATGGCCCTGCCTCCAGAAGACTTGGACCAATCCTGATTTAAGGTATTGGATTTTTACAAGAAAAGAAATACATATATATAGATAATACAAAAATAATACAAAACAGAAGCCCTTTTGGTGATCCTGGTCATGACTGACACATGAGGTCATCAGAAGATAAGCTATTCCTCACACAGACATAGGATAAGCTCTTTGACTTCTGAGGGGTAGGAATGGATTCTGCTCCGTATTTTAGACTCCTCCCCCAACCTTGTTTTGCAGCAACAAAATGCCTTTTGATCACATCCAAGCGTGTCTTTCACTGTGTTTGATTTCTGAATCATGTCCCATTTGTGTGGTCCTGTCTCATGGACCCAGTGCTCACTTTGAATTTAACTGTAATAAATCTTTTTTCCAGATCAGTATAATAAAGGAGTGATGTACAATAAAAGGAAAGAAAAAAGCGAAAGAAAAGGAAGGAATAAAGAAAAAAAGGAAGGAAGAAAGGAGGGGGGGGAGGGGAGGAAGGAAGGGACTAACGAGGTATGTGTGGTACAATCTGTTTTCGCTTTGGTCTCGCAGGTCTAAGACCTGCTTGCAAAAATGAAGCTTTCTGTCCTGCTTTCTCTATAAGAAGATCTGTGGTTTTAGGAGCTGAAGCATTTAGAAGAGAGAGTCATGCAGCAAGCCTACTTCTCATAGACCTAAGCTATCTTCTCCACCTGAGCTTTTATCAGTAATGAAGTTATAGTAATGTAATGAAGTAGTAATGACCTGTGTTGGCCTGACTTGTATGTCTGTTTTCAGTTGGTCTCAAACTCCAGAGTGGAAGACTCCCCAGACTGTTTCTACCTCAGCATCAGTTCTCTCTTTCATAGGATGATGTAGTACACAGTTATCCCACAGTGGGAAATAACACTAGGAACTAAGTAGGAAACGCAAGGACAGTCAAGAGACGTGTAAAGCCCTGAAAGCTTCTCTCATTCATTCAGTACATATTTGGAGAATAGGTATTAAGCCAACTATAAATGAGTTATTTTCAGGGTCTGTGTTAGTATACAAACATTGTATTACAACGAACTGGAAGTGTATACAGACATTGTATTATAATGAACTAGAAGTATACGCAATCATCTACTACTGCATGTGTACATACAAATAAACAGTGAGTGAAAAGAGGCAATACATAAATAAACTTCAAATTTTGAGGTATTCATTTAAATTATTTTTCATATATACCTTTGATATGAAAAGAGCCATCATCATTCCTCTCTATAATTAGATGATCTATATGTACAGTTATAGGAGGTGGTTCAACGGATACTGTACTACTTCGAGGACTGTCATCCTACAAGAAAGAGAAATAATATTGGTATGTTATAATTTAAGTAAATGATAAAATAATTTTCCATAACATTATTTCAGCTAGTCTCATTATTAATGAGTTAGAAATGTATCTTCACATGCTATGGGTGATATAAAGAGAAAACTGCCTGTTTTATTTTGACATTTTCTAATTTCTAAGAAGTATACCTGTATTCATCAAAAGGACCAAAAGATTCATTTAAATAAAATGCCGACAGAATATATATATAGTATAGAGAAGGTACATTGTTAGATATGAATCTAAGTCCAGGCAGGAAAAGTGAACATTTATAACATGAGCATATATATTTTATTTAGCATACTTTTAAATTGATTTTTGTGTTAGAAACTTGTATCTTCATTGGCATTACTGTTGCAACAGCTTCATCTTCCAAAAAATGTTGAATATTCATTAGAGAAGATGTAAGAAACTCAGTGCTAAAGTTTTCTATATGGCATTGCAGAAATCCATTTTTTTCAGCAAGCAAAGAGTGTATTACAGCACCAGGCCCACTTTCAAATCTCAGAGAAATCTCAGGAGAGGCTTTGGAATGAGTTACAGCCTTCAGATCTGAACCTAAAGAAAATGAACATAAGAAGTCATAACTTCGTAGTGCTACTTATAAATAATAATATTTGTAATTAAGAAGATATTGTCACTTTATACATTAAAACAGTAATAGGTAAAATAGGTTTAATATTTATATCTAATTTAAACAATATTCTACAGAACATATATACTATGCCATATCTGCCCAACTTTCAATTATAATACTGACTTCTTTCTCTTTTTTTCTCTGTAGTTGTCTATAGCACATGTGCACTCACTAGAGAGAGAGAGAGAATGATAGGGAAGGAGGGAAAGTGAGAAATCATCCCCCGGGGAAATGGCCATGTTGCAGTTCCCTTTCTTCCATTTTCTTCTGTGGATTTTGGGCATGCATGCACACATGCCCAGCATGATTTTCAAGCTGCTTGAGTACAGGACTCAGATTGTTCAGTTGGCCATGTGGAATCCAGCCTCCCTAAACTCTGTGCCACCCACTGGCCTCAACTACAGTAATACTGACTTTTCTATATTTTCTATTTTGGTAACAGGAAAAAACATGCCATGCCATTCTATCACTCTAATAAGACAGACACCTCTTATTAGCAGAGTGTGCTTGTATACCTATCTAGATATCTGTAACACAATGGACTGCTGTGATAAAGAAACAGTCATGGCACTTAAAGATTTTTTTAAGCCATTATTCAGAAGCAACAAAACCCTGAGATTTTATACCTTCCTCATTAAATTTGGCCCTTAAACAATGCAAAAGTAAATAGAGAAGATCTCATCAAGATATTTCTATTAGAAAAAAAATCTAGGGAACCAGCAGTTAGTGTAATGGCTATATCGCGGCCAGGACCCGGTGACTTAAAACTCACACTGGGCGCGTGTGCGTGCATGCCCAAGATCCTGAGAGGAGAATGAAGGAGAAGGGACTGCGGCGTGACCATCCCCTCAGGATGTGATTTCTTGCTTTCAGTCTCTATGTCTTTCTCTGTCTGTCTGGTAGCGCACGCGCCCTATAGTGAAAACCTCTCCAAAAAAAACCCTAAAGCTGAATGTATTCCAAATCTAAAACTGAATCTATTTCTTGATCTATTCCCAAAAAAAAGGATGGCTTATAGGATAAAGATATAAATACTCAAGTTTATAAACAAATTTTAGAGGGACCAGCAGGTGGCATGGTGGTTAAGGGACTGGATTCCCACATGGCCAACCACAGTGCAAGTCCCAAACTGACAGCTTGAATACCATGCCAGGCACATGTGTATATGTGCCTAAGATCCCAAAAGGAGAATGGAGGAAAATGAATTGCAGTGTGGCCACTCCCCCCAGGGGTTGATCTCTCTCTCTCTCTCTAACCTCTCTGGGGAGTGCAAGCACCCTTTGGCAAAAACCTTAAATACACACACACACACACACACACACACACACACACCAAAAACATAAAAATAATTAAAACATATTAAATTTTAGGGCCAGCTGGTGGCATGGTGGTAAAGGCAGCTAGATCCATGTGGCTGACCATGTGGTTGAAGTCCTAGATCTGGATGCTTGAGGAACATGCATAATACATGTGCATACATACCCAAAAATCCTGAAAGAAGGGGAAAATGGAGGAGAAGGGGTGTGGCATGACCATTACCCATGGGGGAATCCTTTCTCTTTCCATCTCCTTTTCTCTATCTCTGTTTCTGTCGCTCTCTGGTGAGCACATATGCCCACTGGCAAAAATTAAAAATGAAACAAAAATTTTAAATTTCAAAAAGTTCCTGAAGGGGAACAGCAGTTAGCGTAATGGCTATGTCGTGGAACTCCCATGTAGTCGACCGCTGTTCGAGTCCTGGACCCGGTGGCTTAAACTCACGCCGGGCGCATGTGCGTGCGTGCCCAAGATCCCAAGAGGAGAATGGAGGAAAAGGGATTGCAGCGTGGCCATCCCCCCTTGGGGGTGATTTCTCACTTTCTGTCTCTCTGTCTCTGACTGCCTGGTGAGCACACGCGCCCTATAGCAAAAACCTCTCCAAAAAAAAAAAAGCTCCTGAAGTATATCTAATTTTTAAGTGTCTATTAGAACCATTCAAGTAAATTACTTGTGAACTGGCACTCATGGTAACTATTTTGCTTATTTATGCTACTAACTACAAAATGAATGAAGAGGCAATATGCACATGGTATAATCTGATTTAAAAATTGAATAGTGAGGGAAAGGCAAGACAGAAGAGGAAAGGTAAACATGGGGGAAGGACTAATAAAATACTTTAAATTGCTATGTTAAATGTGGACCAACAATGAGCTTGTTTGTCCCAGCTGTAGGATCCCCTCTTGGGATCTTGGGCACGCACGCACACGCGCCCGGCGTGAGTTTAAGCCACCGGGTCCAGGACTCGAACAGCGGTCGACTACGTGGGAGTTCCGCAACATAGCCATTACGCTAACTGCTGTTCCCCTTCAGGAACTTTTTGAAATTTAAAGTTTTTGTTTCATTTTTAATTTTTGCCAGTGGGCATATGTGCTCACCAGAGAGCGACAGAAACAGCTGTGGTGGTAGAGAGTGTTAGATGCTTTGTTCCACAAGCTGGGACATGGGAGGGTCAAGTTCAATTCCCAGTACAACCTAAAGTCTGGAAGAGGTGGTGTGTCCCTGTAATCCCAGTGACTCAGAAGGCTGAATTCAGCAAGAAGATAAGGAGCGTTGAGCCTAGTCTGGGCAACACAGTGAGGCCTCATCTAAAAAAGAGCCAGGTACAGTGCCACGTGACTGCCGTCCAGGCTACTCAGGAAGCTGAGGCAGAGCATCATGACACAGGGAGATTCTGTCTTCAAAAATTAAACAGAGCCTTCCCCATAACACAGCAGTTAAATAACTTCTCAGAGAAAGCCAGCTACCACACAGCTGACCTGGGCTTGAGTTCTGCCTCAGGTTTGAAAAAACATGTGGCTGTACACATGCTAGAATCTTGATGGGATGGAGAGTTGGAAGGAATGGACTGCAGAGTGACCAGGTCCTGTGGGGGGGGATGAGGGGATGGGAAAGGGAGCAGGGAAGGAGGGGTTTCCTCTCTCACACATGTGCATGGGTGCATTAAGTAAACAAACAAAATAAAACGAGCTTGTTAGCAACAGGGAAAAATATGATCAGCTTCACAATTCATAGAACCCATGAGGTGAAAACAAACTAGCTTTTCGGGAAAAGCAAAACCATTTCTGTTCTTAAGATATGAAAGCTATCGGAACCAGCAGTTAGCGTAATGGCTATGTCGTTGAACTCCCACGTAGTCGACCGCAGTTCATGTCCCAGACCCGGTGGCTTAAAACTCATGCTGGGCGGGGAACCAGCAGTTAGCGTAATGGCTATGTCGCTGGACTCCCACGTAGTCGACCGCGGTTCGTGTCCCGGACCCGGTGGCTTAAAACTCACGCCGGGCGCGTGTGCGTGCGTGCCCAAGATCCCGAGAGGAGAATGGAGGAGAAGGGATTGCGGCGTGACCATCCCCCCTGGGGGGTGATTTCTCGCTTTCTGTCTCTATGTCTCTCTCTGTCTGTCTGGCGAGCGCACGCGCCCTACAGTGAAAATCTCTCCAAAAAAAAAAAAAACTCATGCCGGGCGCATGTGCGTGCGTGCCCAAGATCCCGAGAGGAGAATGAAGGAGAGGGATTGCAGCGTGACCATCCCTTCTAGGGGGTGATTTCTCACTTTCTGTCTCTATGTCTCTCTCTGTCTGTCTGGCGAGTGCACACGCCCTATAGTGAAAACCTCTCCAAAAAAAAAAAAAGATATGAAAGTTATTTATCCCATCGGTCCTCTTAAAACCTCCTAATTAAATTCATGATAAAAAGAGTTTTTTGGAGCAGAGATAAAACAAAATAAAATATTATTAGTTGAAACCATTCCCCCCTACTAATCCTTATGCCACAGAATTGTTATGCCATGTCTTCCTATTAAAGAAATCCAAGATTTAGGTCAGCAGATGGTGTAGTGGTTACCTCACTGAACTCTCACACGGCCGATGATGGTTCAAGTCCCAGACATGGTGGCTTCAAAATCACACCAGGCGCATGTGCCTGTGTGCCCAAGATCACAGGAAAAGAAGGGATTGTGGTGTGGCCATGCCCCCTGCTGGGGAGGTGGGTGATTTCTCACTTCCCTCTCACTGTCTCTGTTTCTGTCTCTCTGGCGAGTGCATACAGCCTAAAGTAGAAACCTCTACAAAAAAAAAAAAAAAAAAAAAAAATCCCGCATACTATACTTCACACACTATCTTTGTCAGTATGGCTTACTGCTGTTTGAAATGTTTGAGCTAACTGTTGTTTTTCCATGAATATTTTGAAGATCATTCCTATAGCAAAGAAAACTATGGTAGCTCATCAACATTTTAAGAGATTTAAAAAATGAGCACCGTCATTTAAAACTCTTAATACTACTATTCTAAAAACTTTCTCCATAAGACTGAAAAAGACATGAAAACCATGAGTTTGTACAAAGTTTCCTCCTCACCCACTGCATGTTCTCTTTCTTGTATCTCTCTATGTCCAAGCAAATGTGTTGATCGTGAATGAAGGGCTGTATGTTTATTCCAAATACCAAATACTCAGTCAAAGTCAGAAAATACTCACGTGTAAGTAAGATAACTGAATATGAAAGTTGACATTTATTCTAGCATGGAACTGAATTTGACCTTCTAGCATTATTTTGTCACTCTTTACATACAGAAAAGAGCTCGGTTTTCTTAGATCTATTATCTTAAAGAATAGGAAGTTTGAAACAAGATGAAACTTATCAACAACACTGAAATCAAAAGATCTATCTTCAACAGATCATATAACTTAATCGAAATACCTTCTGGAAATACAGTTAACTCAAAGAACAAATCTCTTCTTTTATTATCATTATAAATAAATTCAAATTTTCTTTCTCATTTTTGTGTTTTAGAGGATTTTACCTTAGAGTGCATGTGCTCGCTGGAGAAAGAGATGGACATAGGCAGTGAAAAGGAAAATAAGAAATCATCCCCCAAGGGGAGGCCACGCTGTAATCCCTTCTTCTCCATTCTCCTCCTGTAATCTTGGGCATGCATGCACATATGCCTGGTGTGATTTCTAAGCCACTAGGTCCAGGACTTGAACTGCGATCAGCCATGTGGGAATCCAGCAACATAACCCCTATGCTATCTGCTGGCCCCAAATTCAGTTATTCAAAGGGAGGATTGCTTGGGCTGGCCATGTAGCCTACTGATTAAGGAAACTGGATCTCCTATGGCTAACTGTGGTTCAAGTCCAGGCGAGGCCAAGGAAGTGGGAGAGGTATATGTCTAAAATTCTGACGGGATTAAGAAACAGATGGGACCAGCAGTTTGCGTAATGGCTATGTCGCTGAACTCCCACGTAGTTGACCGCGGTTCGCGTCCCAGACCCGGTGGCTTAAAACTCACGCCGGGCGCATGTGCGTGCGTGTCCAAGATCCCAAGAGGAGTATGGAGGAGAAGTGATTGCGGCATGGCCAGCCCCCCTGGGGGGTGATTTCTCGCTTTCTGTCTCTCTGTCTCTGTCTGTCTGGCGAGCGCACACGTCCTATAGCAAAAACGTCTAAAAAAAAAAGAAAGAAAGAAACAGAGAAGAGATTGCAGTATGACCACACCCTACTGGGGTGTGCTTTCTCCC